CGTGCTCCATGCTCTTCACGCAGGGCAGGCTGGGGTTGGCCTTCTGCACCACCGAGATCTGGCAGGTCTGCGAGTCATAATGGGCCTCACACCAGTCGGGGAAGTCGATGGGGTGCTGGGTGCTGTGGGAGAGGGCATGGTGCTGTCAGCTCCTCCTGGTCTGCGCCAGGGGGCTGTTGGCAGGGTCAGGTTGCTCGTCCCCCTGGCCGGGGCGTCTCCTGAGCCAGCTCAGGCAGGCTGGGCTACAGCTCCTGGCATCCTGCTGTGCTGAGACACTCCTGGCCCCCACTTTTGTCTCCCTGACTCACCCCACCGCCCTCAGTGCTCCAGTGGGCTCCTGCCCACCTCTTCCCCTTGCCCCCAGGGTCTGGCACCCTGCAGCCCCCCCGGGGCTCTGATGTTTGCTCTGCTGTGCTTGCAGCCACCAGACCCACACGACCTCCTCCCCACTGCAGCCACAGAGGTGCCGTGGCAAGGCAGCACCACCGATGGTAGCCCACCCCCAGTGTCCCTTGGCCCCTCACTCACGTCTCGCAGCAGCCTACGCCGATGGGGTGCAGGCAGGTGCAGAGCAGGCAGTTGGTGGTCCGCCACGACTCCCCGAGGGAGAACTGCTTCCCCTCGTACTCGCAGGGAGCTGGAAAGGAAATGGTGGTGATGAGCACCTGTGAGCCTGCGCTGGGGAGCGTGGGACCCTCCTTGCCACCCCTCTGCCCCCAAATTGGGGACAGGGAATGTCACAACCTCCCACCTGCCCCATGGTACAGAAGATACTCGGTGGTCTCTCTGCCACCCTGCAGGTATGGGATGCCCAGGCATCTGCCAATGGTGATGGTCCCATCCATCGTTTCCCTGCCATGACCTGCGGCTGTCCCCACTGCCCCAGGGGCCTGGGCCAGAGGCAGGTGGCTCTTGCTTCACTGCAGAGGGCATATCCAGCACCCCTTAGGGTTTGAGCATCTCTGCAGCCCTGGAAGGAGGCAGCAGAGAGAAGATGGGCAGCCCTCCTCCCTTTGCTGCCTAGTCCTGCACACTCGGCCCCAGCCGGGCTCCTGCCAGGAGCTCTTCATGGCCCGGTGAGCTGTTTCTCAGCCAGAGCCCTGGGGAGCTGTTCTGTGGTTTATAGACTGCTCCTTCCACTCATCACTGGCCCACGATCGTGCTCCTGGGCTCAGCACAGTCCCTTCTGCGCTTTGCAGTCATGCAGGGCAGAGCCCTGCTGCCCTGGGGAAAGCTGAGGCCTCCTCTTCCCATCAGCATCTTCCCATCTCACCTCCCCGCTTACCTTTAGCCTGGAAGTAGCATTTGGCCTGGGAGCCCGGCAGCTGGAGGAGGAGGGAGAGCAGCAGGCAAAGCCTGCCCCAAGCACACCCCATCTTCTGCGCTCGCATGGCTGTGGCTGGTGTTGAGCTGGGTTTCTTCACCGTCCTGCTGAGGTTGCCTTGCTTATCTATTGCCTTTGCTTCTTTCCCTTCTCTTTCTCTCTCTCTCTCTGCCTTTTTAATGCTCTTCCCCTGATCCCAACAAGAGATATTTATAAAGTTCAGCTTTACGACCCTGGCCACCAGCTGTGCCCCACTGGAAAAGTTGTAAAACTCATTTCCTGATTTGAAAGGCATGAAAACAAGAGGTAGGATCAAGATTTTTAACAAGCTGTGAAAAGCTGATTCATGCCCTCCAGAAATGTCTCCAGTTGGAAGCCCCTGTGGGTGCGAGGCTCCACGGCGAGAGGAGATCCAAGGGACCCCAGTGGGGTTGCCCTCAGCAGGGTGGTGAGCATGCAAGTGGCGAGCGTGGGAGCCCCTGGCCCCTGACCAGGATTGCTCCAGGCTCCCCTCTGGTCACGCTGAGCCGTCTCCGATCCTCCACAGTGGCCAAGGTTTCAGGAGCATCCCATCTCCCAGGGACTGGAGCAGCATGGGCATCCTGTTAACAACCAGCGTGGGACGCAGTGGCACCAGGCGCAGCGGGGATGGAAATGCTCGCACGCAGCTCCCAGGTACCGCAGCATGGCAGTTTCACCCCAGCCTGGGCTGCAGCTGTGCCAGGCTTGTGGCCACATATGGGCTGGGGGTGACAGCAGGACTTTTGGCAAAGAGCAGGCAGTATGGTGATTGCCACTGATGCAGAGTGGGTGAAGAAGGCTCTGCTCAAGGCATGACCCAGGGCTCATCCGAGCAGTGCCCATGAAGGCAGGGTCATGGCTGCATACGTGCAGCACCCATGAGATGCCGGAGCTGAGCAGCCCGTTTCAGAGCCTGGACACCGGCCTCAGCAGAAACAGGGAACAGGAGGGGTGAAATCAGGAGACGAAGGTGCATTTGGGGAACAAGTGACCTGAGAGGGAAATGAAGGGCTTGGCTCAAAGCAAGAAGCTGTGGGAAGATGCCACACTGTGTGGGGACGTGCCTGTGGTCTGCACAGGCCCTTACCCAGAGGCCTGCCTCTGGGTTGAAGGGATCAGTCTGGTATCAGCTGGCAAAGTGAGGGGATGGGTGAGATGGAGGGGGTCAGAGCCCTGGGAGACACATGGCCCTGGGGACCTACAAGTGAAGAGCTGAACTGCCAAGAGAAATTTGCAGCCCTGGTCAGAGGCGCTGCCAGCAGCAGGAAACTGGGCTCCAGGGATGGTCCAGCCGGTGGCTCGGCCAGCACAGGGCTGTGCCGGCAGCGAGGCAGCAGCGGTAGCGGTAGCATATGTGGGTCATCTGCCCCTGTGTTAAGCTCCCTGCTTTCTGAGAGTTTGCGACAGGTTTACACCCTGACGCGTGAGGCTTAATATCCCTTCCAGAATTTGTGTTGGCATCTGCTATTATAGCTGGATATTTTTTTTATCCCCATAAATGCCCAATCCCTCCTTGAATCCTGCTAAATTTTGGCCTGAGCGTTTTCCTGTGGCAGCCTAATTAAGCATGGAGTGAAAAAAAAAAAAAACCCACTTCCTTTTATCCGCTTTGGATTCACCACCTTCAGATTTGAAGGCATAGTCCCTTTCACACTGTTCTTCCAGGCCCCCTCGCTGTCCTGTTGCATCCCCATCCTGCATCTCATGCTCTCACCTCCGAGGGAGTAGTCCTGGCTTTGGATGCCCTCTCCCCATTGAAGAGTTACCCCCAGCCCTCTCGTAGTACCCTGGTTGATA